CAGGGGTGGAGGGATTACAGATATCAGAGCAGACTCCTGTGCTGTGTCCACCTCTTGAGGCTGTAGGTTAAATATTAGCATCACGGGCATATCTGAGAGAAACTTTAGTGCAGGCCTCTCAAACAGTCTGATCCTGCTGCTGTCACTATTGAGAGAGGTTTTAGATCATTTTGTTTATTGTTAAATTTCCCCCCCCATTCAATAAAGTGGGTGATATTGGTGAAATATTGTTCTCTGCAATTTTTTGTAAAGAAATTGGCATTGAATTTTTTTAAATAAATCTAAGTTTATTTACCTTCATTTATGCACATGTGTGCAATCTCTTTTGAAATCAATTTCTAGCATCATTTTCTTCATTTATTCCTGTTTGTTTTACAATCTTTCCACATATTTTGTCTCATTCTACTTCAATCCTAGTATCTTAAACACTCGTGTCGCTCAGTTAATGAAAGAAGAGGAAGCAACCAGATTTGAGGTAAAAACCTTCTCAGAGAAGCAAGGAACACAAAGACATGCATAGCTCACTGCCAGTTGATTCCATGACGAAACTCCAGGTGAGACCCTGCCTTCCTCCAGGGACCAAGGATACATTAAAGCCTCTCTGAACACTCTAGTATCCCCTTGGGAGGTTCTAGCAAGAAACCTTGTAATTGTTTTTGCTACGTGTCACCTGGGGAGAAAGTTTTCAGCAGTGTCCTCAGTTCCCCAACCCGCATGCCCATTGCTGCTACAGGCACAGTGGTCACTGCAGGTCCACAGGGAGGTGAGGTCACAGAGTCACAGACTCATACCTTAAGAGCTACCTGCTTCCCTGTAGCACATGTCCTGGTCACAGAGGCCTCTGCACTAAGATTACATTCTGTTAAAGAGAAAGAACCTGGTGAGTGATCCAATTTCAGTCTAAGAGTGGCATCCGTGGGGGAAGACCCATTTCAAGATCGTGGGTAAGTGTTCACATCAGAAAAGGGGAGGCTGGATTGAGCCCCAAAGATTGCCAGAGCCATACAAGAAGGAGATCAAATTCTGAAGAATGGGCTCAAGACAGTTGAGATAAAAGGGGTGGCAGCCTCAGCCTCCATCTCTGATGGCTCCTGAATAAATAAATGTAATGCACACTGATAGTGATAGAGATGTCTCAGTCCAAATAAAAATGAACTATAGATTTTGGGGGGGGGTTGTTGTTGTACTTTTAAATATTTATTTTTTAGTTGTAGCTGGACAACAATACCTGTATTTTATTTATTTACTTCTATATGATGCTGAGGATCAAACCCAGGGCCTTGCACGTTCTAGGTGAACACTGTACCGCTGAGCCACAACCCCAGCCCCTGAAGTATAGTTTTTAAGGTGCACAGCAGATTTAAAACTAATAAGCTCTTCAGTTTCCTTTACAGGAAATCCATGCTGAATATGCATCGATTCTATAGCTGGACTTGTAATACCTACATGCTTGGATACAGAGTAGGAATAATTTTCAGGAATCCTCTTGTTCTGTGTAGAAAGTGATGTGAATGGTGATGCTTGAGCAGAAAGTATTCTCTAGTTCTCGGCCTGCTGCAGACAATGGAGACACTACTTGTAACAGTCTGAAACTTTCAATGGCCTTTGATTATAGTGAGGCTACTTCCCTCTTGAATTAGTAGGAAGCATGTATGCAGTGTACATAATGTTTACAGGTTT